TAACAAGCATCATGAGTGCTAGGTCTGTGTGAGAAGACCTCCATCTGGCAGCCTTCCTGCAGTGCACCCCCCCAAGGAGGAGGTAAGCTTCCCTGGCCTCAGGGGCCGAGCCCGGCAAGCCCGGGGTGCTGGCGCTGCGGTCCCCGGGGAGAAGGTGCAGAGGCCTGTTCCGGGGCCCAGGAAGGGGTGGGAAGGGCTGAGTGCCCTCAGTCTCTCTAATTGAAAAGTGCCATATGCCCAGGGCAGGCTCACCAAGGTGTTTTTTAACTACAGGTCTGGGCTGTTCAGCTCATCTGCTTATAACCAAAATTCTCTTCGTGTGCTTATTAAAAGTGCAGGTCTACGCCTGGGCCCATTCTAATTCTGTCACTCTGGGCCCGGGCCAAGCAGGAACCTGCACCTCTCACCAGCACTTCTGGAGGTTCTCAGGAACCTAGTCCCCAGGCCCCGCTCTGAGGACCAGAGGCTTAAGCCGTGTTTCTCCAACTGGGGTCACTGGGTGCATTCTTGAGAGTTCTACAAAGGGAACTTTCACATTTTACACATTTATTTTAATAATAATTTTTCAAATATTAAGAACATTCCATATTGTTCAGATGATAATTGTATAACCAAACACTAAAGTGTGAGACTTCCACTAAAGTGTTTACTCTCCGGTTGTACTTTGAACTTTGTCTCAGGCTGATGAGTCTTTAACTCAGATCCAGACCTTGTTTGAATGTTTTCACCAAAGTGAGGCCTGAATGATATATTTTCATCTTAGGGAAGGAAGGGAAGAGAAGGAAAGGAGAAGATTTTGACAAAGAACATCAACATGTTGAATTTGAGGGGCCTCTGGGATGTCCAGTCAGCCCTGGGAAAATGGGCTTGGAGCTCGGAAGAGAAGACTTCTCCAGAACTAGCAATCTGGGGGTGTCACACCCACGACAGTGGCCTAAGGCCTACGTGGGTGAAAACAAGTAAATGAGGGACTGGGAGAGAGGTAGCAAGAGATTGGAAAAGAGGTCAGAGACTAAGGAGAAAACCAGAAAAAAGAAACTGCAGAGAGAGAAGGGAGGAAAACGTTCTGAGAAGGAGAGAACAATGTCCTTGTGAATGGGTACTGTCTCTGACTTTACTGGTAAGTGGAATAAGTTGCAAACAGTCTGTTCAATATGATATCACTTGGACAATAAAAATAATTGTATATGTTCAAATATTTTTTAAAATGTCTGAAAGGAAAAACAACAAAAACAAAAGGCTGGGATTATCTCTGAGAATTAGGAACAGGAGGAGGGTGCAGTAGGGGAACCTTAACTTTTTATTTTGCACCATTTTGTACAGTTTAAATGTGTTATGACGGACATATTATTTTCTCACTAATGTTTTAAGAACTGGTCAGCAGTATGATATTAAATTATGAGAGAGAATAAGAAAGATGAGTCACAAAAGAGGCCATTTTGGCGGCAAGAAGGTTGTCCCTGGAGACCTGTGTCAGGCAGGTTTCAGAACGGTTTCAGGCAGGAGTGTGAGAGCTGGCTGCCAGCTCTAAATATTGCTTCTCAGGCTTTAACTCACCCACAGAAGTCGCCTGGGGGTCTTTGTTAAAATGCAGATTTAGATCCAGTAGGTTTGAGTGGAGTCTGAGATTTCTAACTGGCTCCCACGTGATACCCATGTGGCTAGTCCAAGCACCATACTTGTGAGTTGTAAGGTAGTCAGAACACAGGAAATGGAAGTGAGTGCGAAGAGACCACTATTTCCACTATAAAAGTGTTCCCTAGGAGAGGAATGCTGCAGCATGGTCTAATAAAAAAGACTGGCAGTCCAATAGGTTTGGGAAATACCACATACCCATCCTGATGGTAATACACTGGGTATGAGTGTCTTACTGAGAAATTTTTGCTAGCTTTCCACTCAGATGTTCCTACCAGTTAGGGCTACTCTTGCCACAATGAAAACTTATCTCTGCTGTCAGAATCCGATGTTCATATAGGCCACCTGGTGTTCATGCAGGAACAGAATTCCCCCACACCTTCCAGGTTGGAGGAGCTCGGGGACGGGGACGGGAGCAGGGGGAGCGGGCACAGGGTCAGGAAACTGGAATATGATGAATTACCTTTTGTCTCCCGTACAACAGCAGCAGTAAAGCCTGATGTTCCTTGATGGTATACGATATGATACCATCAGATATTTGCCAAGCCTTATTCTAAAGATTTCCGGACCGTTTTAAAACTTAGCCTAGCATCAGCAGCATGGCTCCCCAGCCACGAGGACGGACACGCTTGGGAACACCCGAACTGAATGCATCTATACCGCTAGTGGCTTCATTGAACAAGAGCAGGAAATCACAGACGCTAACTTGACCTCACTGCTGAAAGGAGTCCTGCTTAACACAAGCCTAAAATCTCTCCTGCCCACTGACAATGATGAAGAACAGCCCAGAGGACGCTGGGCAGCACGGATCCTCTCACCTGCTGAGATGGGGCAGGGGAGGCCAGAAGGGACCTCAGAGCTCAGACAGCATGCTGGCGGCGCTGAGTCATCCGCCCAGGACCTCAGGCGCTTTGCTGCCCTGAATGGCCTTTTAGACTCTCTTCGTAGGTAATGCACTGAGCAGTAAGTTTCAGTGGGAGACTGGATTTCAAAGGACACCTCCGTGCAGAAGAAAGCAGTGGTTATTCACCCTGGCGTGCCTTCATCATTTGAAAGGACTGCCACTCTCTCCTCTCTAACATCTAAATTTGGCAGCAGAGGGTTCAGGCCATATGGGCACCTTGCACAGGATTAGGATGACACCAGAATTGGCCAAAAAAGGGTGTTCTGAAGCCTTACGTTCACAGCTGAAGTTTCCTATCGCCTTAGCTCTTCATCGGATATCTGGTCACTCTGTCGGTCCCAGCTGTCATACTTGTTTCTCAAATTTACTAGGGAGGGAAACGGGTCTGCACAATTCCATTTTCTCCTTATTAGTCTTCAGATTTATTTAGTTTTGAGAAGTGTATTTGAACAGCATTGTGCATGTGGTGGCCATTTCAGGGACACTAGTTAGGGGGTAAAATGAAAACACACGCCTGTTACAGTGCAGTGAGGGTCCTTTCCCGTCACAGAGTGGTGGCAAAAGAATCCAAATTGGGTTTTTTAAAATTATTATTATTTTTAATTTATTTTTTAATCCTTACCCAGGGACTTTATTTTTCATTGCTTTTTAGAGAGAGAGGGAGAGAGAGAGAAACACTGATGTGAGAAATATCGATCGGTTGCCTCTTGTACACTCCTGGACTGGGGATCGAACCTGCAACCTAGGTATGTGTCCTGACCAGGAATCAAACCCATAACCTCTCACTTAGGGGGGCGACGCTCCAACCACCTGAGCCCCACTGACCAGGGTCCAAATTGGTTTCAATAGCCTCCTAACAAATACACATTCTCTCTGTTAAATTTATCATCAAATATCCTCCCTATCCACATTAAATATACTTTAAACTCACAGGGAAGAGCAATTTGGGAAATTAGGAGTCAATTATAGGCCCCCACACAATACCACGTGACTAAGCCACCAGCAACCATGCAACAGGGTGATTTTTCTTAATTCATTTTTTGAGAGAGAGAAGGAAGGGTGGAAGAGAAAAAGAAAGAGAGAGAGAGAGAGAGAGAGAAAGAGAGAGAGAGAGAAACACTGGTTAATTCTTGTACGTACCCTGACTGGGGATGGAATCTGAAACCTTGGTCTATCGGGATGATGTTCTACGCACCTGAACTACCCAGCCAGGGCCTAGAGTGATTGTTTTATTGCATTCCTCTAGGTTTGTTTTATTGATTATTTTCCAGGTTTCCCCACCACAATGTGTTAATTTTAAAGAATTTAGAAGCCAGTTTCCAATCTATAACAAGAAAGATTTTGCCCCCAATTTTCACATGAAACACTTTAATTGCTGTTGACATCACTGAAGTTAGTGTATATGCAGGAAGGAGGGTGCACCCTCAAAATCATACATCCCCAAAAGGCAAAATACTTCTAAAGAAACAAAAAGAAGAGGAGATGGGTAGGAGTGTATCTTGAAAAAACGTTGTGCTTTAAGTTTTGTTTTAAAGTCCTACCTGGGTGTTCTCCACTCAGGAGCTGGGGAGAAGTTCTCTGCTTTCACTCAATGTCCCCCATTATCGAGACTGTCTAGGGCCTAATTTATTGACCTGACTCTTAGAGTCCTCTCTTGAATTCAGTAACACAATCAGGTGTGGTGGGTGATTTTGGAAGGAGAATGCCCTCTATATACAATGTCTGGAAGACAAAAGCATGACTTCCACGTCTCTCGCATTTGAAGACTTCCAGATTTCTCAGGGGAAAATATCATGGCCAAATTAAAACCATTATAAGTTTTAAGTGACTTTTAAACATTATTTAGTGACCTTAGGTCTTGCTTATGGACAAGAGAGACTCTGGATCCAACTTCGGTCCCTGTCTTTCCTGATTATTTGGGACACAAAAACATAATCAAGGTCTAAATCCCCAGTTCCTTGGGTAAGAGAAAGGATGGTAGCCGAGATCTACCTGGCCCATTTAAGAAACAAGTTTGGCTGGCAAAATGGATGTGCTAATGGAAGGTTCTAGTCACTCCCCATTGTTGAGCAGGAGGGAAACTGGAAATGAACCTGAGATATAATATAAAACAAAAACAAACAACAAAAAAAACCTATCCCTTCCCAAGAGGGGAAACTCAGCCCTGGTATGAAAGAAAGGGTACACTGGCTCCATTCAAGAGACTATGGAGGATTCTCGCCCTTGAAGATGCTTGGGTTCTGCCAGCCCAGTGCCGCTGCTCAGAGAGCGTGGTTCTGTCACTGAGGTCTGAATTCTCTCCTCTCCTCCCTCTGGACTTGTTCTCTGCTCAATTGTTTGACCAGTTAGGACATGTCTACAGGGCTGAGCCTTACCCAACCCCGTGCTGAATACCACTAAACACCCGGAGAAAGCACACTAAGCAGACAAGCTGCTTCAATTAGGAAAGCTGTCACTTTACCTTTTTGCTTATTGAGAAACAGCAGAGGGGGCACGATGTCAGGACCTTGTGGCCCGGGGCTCTTTGTGGCCACGGGACTTTCCTGGGAACTCACTGCTTCTGCAGGTTTCTGCTGCACTGGGGACTCCTCGGGCTCTGGGTTTCTGTCTCCAGAAGGCAGCTCTTGGCCAGTTTGGGGGACAGCCGAGGGGAACTTAAGGAAAGGGCCTGGCTCATCCAGGCCCTGCCGGTTGGGTGCACGCTCTCCAACCCGGCCACCGGGCTCCTCCCGGATGGCGTCCAGGGCGCCTGACTTCAGCCGGGGTGAGTCCTGCTCCCGCTTGGGGCTCTCCTCCGAGGCAGAGGACGCGTCGCATGACTCAATGATGAGCTCGCTGTCCAGCTCGGCCTCGCGCTCCTCCCTCAGGATGCTGTACTGGATAGAAGGCGAGGCTGGCGAAGGTGGTGGGCCGCCCACGTGGCCGAAGGTCACATAGCCAGAGGTCAGTGCGTCCTCAGCGGCCAGTGGATCCTCGGACACCAGCTCAATTTCCGAGTCCCCTGACTCCGCGCTGCTGGCCTCATGGTCCAGGGCGCCAGGGATGGTGGGCAGCCCGGACTTGGACTTGGCCTTGGACTCGGGCTTGTGGGCCACCTGGTTCACCGGCTGTGGGCTTTCGGCTGTTTCATATGATAACCCCTTTGCTTCTTTAATGGCAGCGATCAGCTCGTCCTCCGAGATACTGCCTTTCCCCTGATATTCTGCAGCAGATGGTTCTGTCGTCCCACAGAGCGAAGGAGAGCAGGAGAGGCGTGCACACAGGGACAGACAGATGGATAGAGAGAGAAGAAATAAAACAAAGTTCCATTAGGGGAGATGTTTTCTCGTTGCTTGAGAAACACATATGATTAGCACAAAAATAGTCTGTTTCCAGGGCTGGGCTGGAAAGACAGGCCACCTGAACTAAAAGGCTAATTACTGTTTTGGCCCAATTAATCAGTGTTTCACATACCTATCTATCTTAAAATCACTATTTAAAAAATGACCCAGCAATTTCTTAGTCACAGCAGCACCTCAGTTGCTTTGTTTATTTTAACATGGCCTAGACTCTATAAGTCATTGTTTTTAATTTCTGATGTATTCTCCTAGGGAAGTTTTCAAATGTCACAGATTTCATCAGATAATCTGATGGATATAACTCTCTAATTTGGCTCACCAATATCAACAAATCTGAAAATCATCCGTTTATTACTTATCCATGGCTGCTTGTGTTCCCTCCTTCAATAAAACAAACAAACAAAAAAGTTGATTTGGATCTCTGTGTACAATTTGATTTCTGGGCTTTACATTTCCCATTAGAAATAATAATTTTATTATCATTTTTTTTTAGTGAACAGTGTAACTAGGGAGAGCCATGTAAGAGAGTTTCGGCCCGTTCCACCAAGCCAGCCGAGCAGATCACCACAGTGCACGACCCCACCGGGCCGCTAATGGTGGAGCCCACCCTCTCTCCTTTGCCCTCCCTCCAACTCCTCTTGAGAAGAACAAAACCTGCGAGTCACCCCCAGCCCCCTGTGAATGCCTGATCTCTGCGTGCTGATCCGAAAACCCCTCTGGCAATCTTGCTGATATTTCTGTCCCCTAGAAGAGCCTACCTGGGATCACCATGACAACAGTTTTCAGGAACCTGGTGTTCCTTTGCCAACAGCAAGGCCTTACTTCAGAATATCCGAGATGCTGCTCTCTGGCCATTCTGTGAGCAAGAGCTACCTGGGAATGATGACTAAGGGGTCATGGATTTTTTTCTTTTTTTTGTGGTGGGGGAAATGAAAGTACTCTAAAATTTATTGTGTGATAGATACACAATTCTGTGAATATACTAAAAACCATTAAGATGTAAATGAGCGAATTGTATGCTATGTGGATTGTAGCTCAGTAAAGCTGCTTGACCTTGTATTAGACTGTAGTGTGAGTAAGAACTTTATTTATATTAAGCAACCGAGATTTGGGGAGTTATCTGAATCTGACGAGACTGGGCACGTTGAGGGCACTATGGCCGTGGATGATTTACCTGAATCTGAATGAATGTGCCCCTTCGATCTGGATTCTGCTCCGCTTTGCCTAAATTCACTGATAACTCTCAGATCACCTTTGAGTTCTGACCCATTAAGAGGGTACTGCAATCATTGAGAGGAGGAGTTACGACAACCTAATGAGTTGTGGGGGCCATAAGGATGGAAAAGAGAGGACAATTCAAGGGACACTGATGAGAAAAACTATAGATTTAGGGTCTGACTCATCTGGTGGGTGAGAAAAAAATGGGGTGTCAGAGGTCACTCAGAAGTGGTGAACCTGGGTGAGTAAAATGAACAGGAATTCCATACCCAGAAACATGGATGTCAGAAGAGTGTGCTGTATTGATGGGACAGGGGAAGAAAATTCTTATCTTGGGTATCTTCCCTTCCTGTGGCTCATACTCTTCCAGTTTCTCATGTTGGAAGCTTCTGTCTGACCATCTAAACTGCCAGGACCAACCAAACTCCTATTCTTTTTCCACCTAGGAGACCACAAAGCAGGCAGGCAGGGCCTTGGGCTCAGAGGGCTGTAAGTGGCCCTGCAGGGCAGCCCACACTGTGTGCAAGCCAGCCTGACGAAACAGCCTGCCACCGCCTCATCCTGCACAACCGGAAGCCCCTGGCTGGTTTGTATTTGTTTATGCGATGATCTAATTAATGTCTGTCTGTTCCCTCTCCCCTAGTCTCCCAAACCCAAGACCGAAAGCGCCATTAGGGCAAAGGGTAGCCAAGGTACTTTTGTTCACAATCATATCCCCAGCATGCAGTGCAGTGCCTGGCACACAGAGAGTGCTGATAATAGAGCTCACTGAGAACTAGCTCAAATATTCAGAACACTGGTTCTTAATTGGGTGAAAGGCTCAAAACTGCCCTCAGAAGTTCTGACTTGTAGAAGGAAGTTCTGGCTTGTAGAAGGAAGTCTGGATGGAGCTCACACATCTGCATTTTGTAATCACCTTACTCCAAGCACGATTCTAAAGCTACCTCCAGTGAGGGTTGGCAGATTCAGTAAATAAAAATACAGGGCACCCAGTTAAATTTGAGTATCAGCTAAACAATGAATGTTTCATTAGTATAAGCGTGTCCCATAAAATTTGTCTTTTGTCTGGCAAGCCTACCTACCTCCAAATGAAAACTGCTGTTAAAGCATTCCGAAAAGGATCAATGATCTTGCTTTATTTATTCAAGAGTAAGAATGCTATCAGACAGCTGTGGAGTGTGGACGGAAGAGGCCTCATGGGTTTCACCTTGGGCAAGTGAAGGTACTACCTTAGAAAGAATCCATCCTTATTTTGAGTCAAAAGGAACTCAACAGATATTTAGACATTGCCCTCCATTCTTAATGGGAACTGAAAGTTTAACAAACTACTAGGAGGCATCTGGAAAATATTTAAAACAAAACAGAAGATTTCCCTATTCTTGCTTAAAACCTTAGGGGCATCTAGCTAAGATACTGGTTATCATATGTAAAGACTGACACAGCAAAGCTGGAAACAGTCAATGAAAATAACCAAATAGAACCTAGAAACTGAGGAGGTTAGAATGGCCCTACCTGGAAACACATGTTTGCTGCTGCTGCTAAGGATGATATAATTAAGGGTAAAAGGAAAAGTCAGCTTAGGGCCAGTTTACCAAGTTGCAGTTGCCAGTGTCCAACTGTGAATGATGCTGCCATTCAGGTCTCTTCTTTGCTCCTGGCTCACTCTCCACTCATCTTTCAGAGGGATCATCTGAAAACACAAATCTGATCCTGCCGCTCTTCCCTTCCTTCTCCCTACTCCAGATGCACTGACCTTCCATCTGCAACTTGAACGCACAGGACATTCCCAGCTCCAGGCCTCTTCTCTGGCTGCCCTTCCTAGGCTATCTCTGTGGCTTGCTCCCCGCCCCATTCAGGTCTCTGCTCAAAGCCACCAGCAGAGGAAAGCTTTTCTTTACCACCTCCCCATCGCTCTCTTACACTCTATCTTGTTTTATTTTTCTTCATAACCATTTAACTACCTGGCATTATATTATATATTTATTTATTTGTGTGTAAATCCTCCCAACTAGAAAGCAAGCTCTCTATAGGCAGTGTTCTTGTGATTCACCGCTGTATCCCCAGTGGTGGCAGCACAATGCCTGGGCTAACTGGTCAAAGTATATTTATTGAACGGATAATGGCACTTTCCGACTTAACCCCTCCAATGATTTCCCATTGCATTTGGAACAAAATCCAAATTCTTTATCCTAGCACATGAAACCCTGAATAATCGGGGACCTCCCTACCCCTCCAAGTCAGTTCTATTCCATATTTCTCCCTGGCTCCTTTGTACCACCTTCCAATTCCCAAATAATTCAGCCTTCAGGCCTGCGCATTTGCTGTCCTCCATACCTGGGCCTCTCTCTTTGAATCGTGGGGTCCTTCTCCTGATTAAGATCTCAGATCACATGCCACATCCTCAGAGATGCCGTCCCTGATCTCCTCACACCCAACACTCTGTCACTCTTCATAGCACTCACACTTTATGAAATGACACTACTTATTTATGTGTTTCTTTTTATTGTCTCCTCTTACTAGCAGGTCAACTCCATGACGGTAAGGACTTTATAAATATTGTACTACAATGTCTCTGGTGCCCCACACATGTTTGACATAGAGAAGTCACTCAATAAGTATTTTTTAATAAAAGAATGAATTTTGAAAATGAGTAGGAGAATCACAGACCTCACCAATGCAAGGAAATAGCAACAGTAGTTTTCAAAGAGTTCAAAGTAAAATTGATTTACTTTTTATTGCTCTTTTCTTTTTAAGGGAAGCTGGGTGGTTTAATTATGGCCTCTCAATCCCTGGCCCTTCTGAGGCTAATACCTGCAAGAACATCCACGGCCACCATAACACGCTCTCTGGTGCCCATGTCAGGAACCACATGGTGCCGATGGGTCAATGGTCGGGTCCTCAGGACAATTCTCATTTATCTAAAATGCTTCACCTGTTCTCTTGACTGATCTTTTCTTTGAGAAGATAATTTCAATATTTGAGATGTAAGAATTTTTACCTCTGTATTTCAGGGTATATTATTTAACAAGATAAAAATAGTTAAGTACGTTGGAGGAAATTATGAAATTAGACAATCTATTGGAATTAAAGAAAATATATTAGACTCCTTGCTTAAGCTTTAGGGTCTGTGGCTAAAACTGTTCTAAACTAGAATTTCTCCTGAGTCATAATTCACATAATTAGAAGTATTCCCCAGAACTGATGATTTCCTTGTTTATTAAACAATGATAAACAGAAATTGTTTTGTTGAGAGTGTTTTCCTTTCCCTCGGTTTGTATGTAGGATTTTATGTAATTCTTGGTGTTAGTCTTATCTGTTGGCACTGGAAATGGCAGAGTGACCCAAGACCCAGGGGATGTAATAAAGCCCAAATCTTCCAGTGTCTATGGGCAGAGTGTCATACGAGGCCAGGGACACACGAGTTGGGAAGCGGGTTAGGTTAAACTTTTGAAATAAAAAGAGTGAGGAGAAAGGCCTCAGTGACTAGCTGTTTCCTTCTGTCTCTTCTGTTAATTTTATTCTCACTCTTGTTTTATGACTCAGGTATTATGAAGTAGACAATGGGTGAAGAGAGGAGCTGAACATCGGGGAGAGCTGTGTAATGGGACAAAGGACTTACTCTTTCTTGAATAAACCCTGCTCAGAATGTTTACTTGGAGCAATGACAGAGAAATCCATTGCCTTAACCCCATGCTGTCAAGTGCGCAACCCAAGATCATAAAACTCCAAAGTTATATGAACCAGATTTTGTCTCTGTTTTCTTTTAAAGTTGCTCCAGAACCCCAATGGGTCATGGCTATTTAAAAAATGGTAATGCCCTAATAATAATTAATGAACCCTATATCAAGTCTTTCTCATCAACTTTGTAAACTGTAATTTTTACATTAGGCTTGTGCCACTGTAAGTAGACTTACATCTGCTGATGTATTTCACTCTTCCTAAAGACTGGCTTAAGTTCTGTTGGACTGGCCACCAGGCAATCCTGGAGCTCTGTAAAAAACAGCTGATAATTGTGGCTTACATCTCAGTGTCATGGAATAATAGAAAGGTTGTCGACGCATTGCCAGAAAGAGTACAGGAGGCTTTCAGACTCAGCTATGTCCCCATCTCACGCTGTAGACTGGGACAAGTCATATCTAATTCACTTGAGGCCTCAGCTTCCTTATTTGTCTTCACAACCAAATCTCGATTCACATTTTATGGTAAGCTCACTGTACCCTCACTCCTTCTGTCCTTGTACCTACTCAGATTGGAAGGCCGCCCCTCTTCTTCGCCTGTGTTATTTCCTCCTGCTCCTTGAAGAGTCACTTCAGGTCTCAGTTCACCTGGGGAGCTACTGGACTTTGATGCTCCTCAGCACTCTACGCTTCCCTCTCTCAGAATACAAATCATACCAGAGTTTGGCTGTTTTCCTGGTCAATTGCCCTCTACAGGGCAGAGACTGATTCGTACTTGTTTTGCAAAACTCTGTCATCACCATTACGCAGTAGAGTGACTGACCTAAAGAACATGTGTAGAAAGTGTTGGTTGAGTAAGTGCATACATTTGAAAATCAGGGATGTGGTGCGATGGATCTTTGAGACCGTTGGAGCTTTATAGTTGAATGAGTCTGAGGTAAGAGGAGGAACTGATGCTAAATCTTTAGGGAAATAGGACAAGAGGTACTTCCATTAAATCCACTCCGTTTTAACACTTGGACTTAGCGCAGCATCACAATTTAGAGCATCTTTCCTAATTCTGCAGTTTTCAGAATTAAGTGAAAGATCATTCACCTGAGGTGCTGAAAATCACTTTCTATGAATCCAAAAGTTTTGTAAATCACTTTTTACAAAAGGGTAGGGTCAGAATGTCAGCCACTAGAGGCAGGGGAAGATCCGAGGCCCTCCAACTGTCCTCTTCATCCTGTTGCCTCATGGGCATTTGTACACAGCATGGAGATGCACACAGGGTGGGAGATGAACATGGGATGGAGATGCACACACGGTGGGGGACACAACAAAATGGGAGATGCACACAGGACAAAGGTGGGGTGGGGGAGCTCCTGCTACACTCTGGCCTTTGACCAGGTAGAGCAGTCCGCTTTTCTATTGAGAGGATGCACTGATGGTGGTTTAACACCCTGCCTTGAGTCAGACTAGTAGAACATTCAAGTTGAATAAAATTACAACCTAGTGAATTTTAGACTTTAAAAAATTCTATCCAAATAAATCATTGTTTAAAAAATAAAATTTTATGCAGATCTTCAATACACTAAAAGATAAAAATAGGAGTGCTGAGACTAAAGCGTGGGAGGGGAGAAGTACTCTTTGCTAGGTTACCTCTCACTGCCCCTGACCCTCCAAAAGTCCCTGAGGCCCACCCCCGCTACATTGTACAGACTTGGAGCTGAGACCAGGAAGGGAAATGCCTGGACCAAGGCGACTCAGCTCGTTTCAGCAGAGCAGTCGAGGTGCTTACAGGCGGTCAGGGAGGAAAATTACCCTAGAAGCAGGTGGTACCTCCCTCTGCTCTGAACAGTAGGCCCACGTGAGGATTTGGATGTTTCCAGTGTGTCATTCCTTCCCCTCAATAGAAGAGAAAAAACTTTATACAAAGCAAATCTGACAGGGCCTTAAGGAATATCCCAAATCTCAACCTTTGTACAATGGGCACAAGACTGGAAAAGCTGTATGTTAATTAAATTAGTTGAGATGGGACTGGAAAGCAAATCCTGATTCCTTAATATTCAGATTTCCATGTGCCAGCTTTTCCCAGGCAGAGAATACCAGTTTCCTTACCTGTTCCAGAAGATGGAGGAGTGGTGGATCCCGGGCTGTCATCCTCAGGCTCTGAGACAGTGACAGTGGGGACTGTGTCAGGGCTCGGTTTCAGACAGACATCTTGCTTCTCAGGGCTCTTCTCTTGGGTAGCAGTTTCAACAGGCGGTTCAATCTCAGTCAGTGTGATTTTGACGGGGGCAGTGACCAGAGAGGCCCTGTGGTGCTCTTCGGAGAGATCATCGATGTAAGGAGCAAATGTTGATTCTTCAAATAAATGGTCCTTGATGACTTTTCCTTCCACAGGAGCTGGTTTCTCTGGTTCATGGACTTTTTCAGATTTCGATGAGATTTCAGTGTCCTTATTCTTCAAATCCAAGCCCTTCTCTTCCAACTCGGGGTGACGTTGCTCCTGAGAGTTCACCTCCCCTGGCCCGGTTATGTCAATGTATTTGTAAGCTTCTGCTTTCATTTGGTCCAGGGGGTCGGCTAAGATCTTGTTCACGTCAGTGGACTCTGCAGGAGTCATCTCTATTCCAGAATCAGAACTAAATAACCCATGAGGCTCCATCCCAGGCACATCTGGTAAGGAGGGCCCAGGGGTACTCAGCTCCTCGGGGCTCTCTGATGTGGTGACGTGGCCATTTTCCTTCTGAAGAATTCCAGTGAAATATGTAGAATCCTCCTGAGGTGGGTAACAGACGTCGGAAATCAGAGACGTGTAACATGCTCCTTCTCCATCTTTTGATGCTGTTGAAAACGGGTGATCCATGGCACGGGAGACATCTGCCACCCCTAGGAACCAACACAGGGGCGGACAGTGAGTGGGTGCTGGGCTTCAGTCCTCCCTCCTGCCCAGCCCACCACCCACCCCTGCCCTGTGAAGTCACAGCACCCTTCCTCCCCCAGACCGCAGAGTCCCCCTCAGCACTGGTGCGCTCATTCCCCCTGCCTCCCTGATAGCCCGTAGCCCTGGTGCGTCCCCGGCAGCCCACTCCAGAGTCTCACACAGCTGCCATGGCCAGAGAAGGGAGGGGCAGATCCCAGAGGACTAGGAAGTTGATTTTCAAAATCTACTACCTCAATACAGTGACTTGGTCTTACTTAGTATTATTCAACAGAAGCCCTCTATTTATTTACTTACGTATTTATTGATTTATTTATTGAGAGAGGGGAAGGGAGGGAGAAAGAGAGGGAGAGAAACATCAATGTGCAAGAGATACATAGATCAGTTATCTCTCGCACACTCCCAATTGGAGACCTGGCCCACAACCCAGGCATGTGCCCTGACCGGGAATTGAACTGGCAATCTTTCAGTTTGCAGGCCAGAGCTCAATCCACTGAGCCACACCAGCCAGGGCTCAACAGAAGCCCTCTTTATATGTCAAAATATTCATGACTCTTTAAGCAGAGGTGGAAACGTAGGCTAATTCAGGCCTGTAAGAGCAGTAATAGGATAGTGGACTGGGGAGAGGGGCTGCTGTTAGAGCTGGAAGAGACCTCAGGAGACCCTTTAGTCCAGCACTTTCCTCCAGGGACTCCTGCTCCACTTGGATGGACGCCATCCCTTCTTTTTTAAAAGGTCCACAGAGAAAGGGACTCCGAGTTTTCCAGTGGACTCATCCCAAAGTGGTATCACTTCAACGGTGCTCTTCCCTATTTCTTCAGTTTCCTCCTCATTTTGTTTCACTCTCATTCATTCGCCTACTGCCCATTCTTTGCCTTCCAGTGATACTCACAGCAACCCACTGGGAATTTCTGAGTTCTATGGGTGGTGCCAAGGACAAAACAAGTTTCCAAGTTTCAGTCCATAGAATGCTTTCACCTGGCCGTCATTCTACTCATAAGCCAGCCAAACGTTCATTAAGAGGCAGAAGAGGAAAACCCTCTATTATTTTTCTTGGCTGTAAAATGTCATCAGAAAGGAAGAAAACTAATGTTTATTGAGGCATTACTATATGCTAAACAGTTGAATTTTACCTAATTCTTACAACTAGTTTATAAATTAAGCCCCACACTCTGAACATACCAATTCATCTCACGCATCCACCTACACACAATCACACACACAGCCTTTAAGACACACCCAAAGAACATTACAGATTAGGGCACCAACTCATAAAAATAATAAAAATAGTAGCAGTAATACAATAGTAATAGCTAATATTTGAGTGCTTGCTGTGTGTCATACATAGTTCCAAGCTTTTTAGTAATATTGATCCATTTAATCACCAAAGCAATCTTAGGGAATCGCTACTATTGTTAGCTTGATTTTTCAGATGAGGAAGCTGAGGAACAGAGAGGCTAAATAACTCATCTACGATCTCACAGGCAGGAAACAGCAGAGCCAAGATTCAAACCCCAGCAATCTAGGTGTCAGGAAACCTTTCATGCTCTTTGCACCTTATTAAAATCAGTTTATGAGGTCCTGTTTTTCTTTTTAAGTAATGCTGAATGTACATCATCACAAATAAACTTTTGTATTTTCCTAGCTTTTCTCTTGGTTGCACAGCCATTGTTTGTCTAAGGGGAAGAAAAAAAGCACAAAGCCTCTTCCCTGCTCTGGCACTTGCCCGCCTAAGCACCTTTTCCCTGGCTGTTTTCTTTCCTTGGACTTCTCCCCCCCCCAGATTCCTGCACGCCTAACCCCCTCATGGCCAGGTCTTTCCTCAAAGGCTGCCTTTGGAAGGAAGACAACAACGACTGCTCTATCTAAAACTGCAACCTGCCCTGCCTTCCCCACTTCCTGGCAACCCTGTTCCCCCCTACCCTTCTTTACTTTTTCTTTTTTTCAGTATCACTTGTCTCCTCCTAATATACCATACAATTAACTTATTTACTTATTTCCTATTTATGTGTTGATTGTCCTCCACTGCTAGGCATGCTGCATGAAGGTGGGGATCTTTAATTATTCTGTTCATTAATGTAGCTCAACACCTATAACAGGGCCTGGCACATAGTAGGCACTCAATAAATATTTCTGAGATTAAAAAGTGTAAATTTTATAATTAAGCCCATGTAACAGGATTGTGTGAGAAGATTGGCAGATTCCTCTAACTTGCTAATGATACTCACTTCACTCAGCAAGTGGCCTAAATTTGTAACCGGTTCAAACTTGTACATTTCAACAAAGCTTCTAATTGTACTTCCTTTGCACGTGGCTGCCACTCCTTTCAATTTAGACCCCCCAAAAAAGCTTCATAGGAAAAGGAATAATACTAATGATGAGCCTTATTGCCAACCATATATAGACCACTAAAGAAAAAGGTAATGAACTTAAATTCATGTGTGCACACACACCTTTATCCTAAAGAATTTTAAAAGGTTCTTTCATTGTATGGGCTCAGTCTCCTTGTAGACCTCACTGGAGACAGGGAAATCAGTCCTGAGTTATTTCATTGCAGACACTTGGATCCTGGGATTCTCTACGATTACCTGGAAGCACTACCACAGGTTGCTGAGTAACTGTTCACCAGAAAGCAAGGAGGGGCTTGTCCACAGATCCAGACAGTCCGGAGATGCAGGGGAGGGGACAGGGCGCTCTCCTGAGACGTGCACAATAGGCTGTGTCAGGGCTGTGTCACAGTAATTATCATTCGCCTCTCACTCGATGCTGCTTCTGCTGCAGAGGCCCCCACAGGGCTGCTGCCCCTTACCGCCTACATCGGGCAGGCCGCACAGCCCTCCAGCCCACAGCCTCCTGGGACCAGTTATCACATTAAACGCAACTCAGCAACTGGCCCCCGGGTTCCGCCCTGCTTCCCCGGGTAACCCTCAAACTCGCAGCCTGGCATTTGAGACAATGTGAATGCCATCTGACCATAGAACTTTGTCTCTACTGCTCTTCACTCTCTATCCCTATAGACACTTTATTCTTCCAATTTCCATACCTATAGCTCTGATTTTTAACCACAAGTCATTAAAGTTGGGCAGCTTTGAATGCCCATCTTCCATGATGAATCTGTCGACTACACCTGTCAGGACTTGATCCCTTCCTATCGTTCCCCCTCATCTTTCCTACAGCACATATATTGCTCATGTGGCATGTATGACATACAACTTCTCTATGTCCTAGTCATCTCCTAGTCACCTGTCAGCTCCTGGAGTTTGATGCTCATGGCCTTGCCCACTTTATCGTACTGTAGGCACCCAACACGAAATGAACGAAGGAATGAACCAATGAATCAATCAATGCACTTAGTCTATGCAGCTACTGAGAACAACCTGTGATTAATTGATAAAAGTTAAAAAGAGAATGTGTTCAATCTATCAAGTGAAGACCAGTCTAGAATATGAGTTATCCAACAATGGGATAGAGCTGCATCTCAGAAACAAGAGTGCTCTGATCCCAGTCGGCAATCAGGGGCAGACGTGCCCAGCGTCTGTCTAGGCAGAAACAGCATTTGGTGAGCAGTCCCTCCCAACTTTCTACGATTTTTGTACTGATTGGCTGCCACTGTAGTCAGACACAACCTCCTATACTCCTCCATTTGTAAAATTGATTCAATATAATTTTCCCGAAGGTAGTCCCACAGCATACAGGAGCTTCCCAGATGTACAATAATTGTTAAGGGAATAGAATCTAGAGTACATCTACATTAAAAGAGACTATAAACCAGGGGTGTCCAACCTGTGGCCTGTGGGCTGCATGCAGCCCAGGATGGCTGTGAATGCAGCCCAACACAAAATTATAAATTTATTTAAAACATTATGAGATTATTTTGTGATTACATGTATTGCAATGTATTTAATGTGTGGTCCAAGACAACTCTTCCTCTTCCAGTGTAGCCCAGAGACACCAAAAGGTTGGACACTTCTGCATAAAAAGAATCAACAACTGGGAGGAATTTCCACCTCTGAAATTCTTATCCAACTACCTGTGTCTTGTTCAGAAAGCCCAGCCTGAAACTGAAAGGAAAAGAAACAAAGTCACTTGTGTAAATCACACATTTAAGTGGGGCCATGTCAGAACACTCATAAAAGCAACAAATAATCCACATCCTTTGAATGTGGCCATGCCCCATTTTCTTAAAATAAGCTAAGTACCCTGAACAATTCTCAAGGTTCTAACTTAAGTGAATTTGAAAATGCACATACATTACAGGGTGCTATCAGTTAGAACTCCTGAAAACAGAAAGTCCTTTGAGACAGTCAATTATCCGAGAGCAGGTTCCTGTGGGATCCTTGGAACTGGGAAGCGAACGGAGCCTCAGGCGCAGGAAAGCCAATTAATTCTTGTCAGCTCTTCCTGCAGAGCTGGCAGATGTGGGACCTGAGAAGGGCAGCAGGAGCCCTTTCCCCCAGCTAGGAACCAATATTGTTACATTGTTAAATGCAAATCCACTAAATAAAAGCACTTTCCTTCTGGAGACCAGAAATTATTGCTTTCTTTATATGACCAAGGGTTCCTTGGCACATCTGCCTTGTTCCTCCCGGGCTGCTCCCTCGGCCGTCTAGAAGTCTGACTCCTGTGGAAGGAGATACACGATACAACGGGTGGACACAGGAGGAGGCCGGGCAGGAGGGCACCGCGAATTCAGGCACATGGATGCATTTAAAATCGGACTGATTTTTCAAATTTTCATTTTACCAGTAACTTTTCAGGAAAGTTCTTAAAATAAAAACTGAAGAACCCATTGGTCACAATTTCTAGTCAAAAGCTAAGTGGAAGAAAGATGAAAATAAGCTCAAACTATTGCCATTAAATCACATGTGCTGATACAAATCAGCCTTTTGTAGCCCCCAATGCCCGAGATCAGAAATGCTAATCATGAGCTAGACAAATTCAGTAACCT